GACGTTGGCTTCCAGGAGTTCCGGTAGCATGGGAGGTGACTCCTGCCCACCACCGACGCGAGGACGAGTTTCGTGAAAACGCGGCCTGGCCAAGCCATGCTTTTCATACCTGCTACCCTGGATAGATACCAATTCCAGTTCAGGATGCTAAAAAATAGCTTTGCACCAGTTCTCGCAACATGGACAACCGATGGACGCGCCTCCATGACGCGCCTCCGATGGAAAACCTTCAGGTTAGAGGACCCAACTCGGGCGGACTCGCCGGACGGTCTCAGGTTGGCTCACTTGACAGGCGCCCAGACCGGCAGACACCCACACCGACACCCATACCCCCATTGACACCCCCCAACTGACCTGGAAAGGCCGAGGAAACTAGTAACAAGTGCATCGCTACTAGGAACAAGTGCCTTACTACTATAGTAACAATAAGACAAAGGAAGCAGACTCACCAAGTTCATGTGAACACCCAGTTCTTGAAGGGCACTTTAGTACAACGCGCTGCCCCAACGTCAGTACCGTGGCCTGAATCTCCCGGTGCTGGACCACTGCAGCAGGCACCGCCAAGATGGGTGTCACTGGACTGCCCACCTGGGCTGGGCGAAAACGGGATGAACAGCTTATCCAAGAGAGGTCAAGTGACCTTATAGGACCCTACTGGGGTACCTATGGGATAGCCTGTAGGGTTCTTCAACCTCTCTTGGCTAGCTGCTGGGTGACTTCAACTCACTTGAAACATGTTGGTCAGTGGATGTCAAGTGTTTGACAGTGGATTTCATCTCAAAGTCAAGGTTGAAGATCAAAATGTCTGTAAAACCACCTCCCAGCTTGGTTCATGACTGACTAGTCCCTTGAAGATCATGAACAAATCGGTTCACAGCTGAAGTGCTTCATCAGGTATTGGACAGGGTTGGGAGCTATGTTTGAGTTTCCTTCCAAAATCTTCCAGTTACGGTGCTTCATCCGATGTCCACCTGTCGAGATTTCTCTTGGAAAGGCTGTCTAGAGGGCCCGAGACAACTGGGCCGTCTCCCGAGACAACTGGGACGGCAGACTGCAGGACTGACTCTATGGGACTGAACTCCTTTGCCGAAGGTCGGCCAGTTGTGCTCGAACGGGTGAGGCGAGATCAATATGGTGTCTGGGGTCGCACCCGGCGCCCAGGTTCTTCCCACCAAAATGACTAAGAGATCAGCCAGCAAGGTCAAGCATCATCAGAATTCATCACGAGCTCCGGCTCCAGGGCCCGTCCTTCAGAGCCCAGGTGCTGGAGGTGCCGCCACGAGGCGCCCAGCTGCGTTAGGATTCCCGGGAACGCGGTGGGCGCCCCGCCAAACGCGGAGGTCCATCTCGGGGGCCGCGTCCGTCCTTGGTGAAGGTCAGCTCTGACAAGTGAATTGGGAGTCCGAAGATGGTGCTGACACTCGAAAATCAGTTTGACATATGATGATTTGATGATGATTTGTTGGAGGATGGCAAATCTTCACATATATATATATATATATATATCCAAACACTCCATGCATACCATATTTGCATACATTGGGGTGGTATCAAAGGTCAATGTAGGCATATATTCCATACATGGAGTGTTTGGGATAATATATAAACATTTACATTTACATGGTTTGGACTCAGGAAAAAGGCAAACAGGTCGTCTTAGATCTGTCGACAGCACGTTATCAACAAACAACCTCCACTCCAGCGGGAGGTGTGAAATAAGGGCTTGAGCAAACAGCACCTCCCAAGGGGAAAACGCTCCATATGTATGCCATATATGATATATGCCACCCCATTGACCCCCAACACCACCCCTGGCCTGATCGCCAGTCCTATGGCAATCCCAGACAGGTCGTGTCTGGGAAGGGAAAAAACCCTCCACGACCGTTGGACACGTCCATGGCTGGCTGGAAGTGGAAGGTCCTCTGGCTCGGTGGAGATGGAACGCCCCTGTGCGGGGGGGAACCTCCGGACCACGCCCCGTGAAAGGCTTCCAGCCAGGTCCCCGGCCTGGAAGGCGCTGCTTTATGTCGATGTATCGTGTTACCGCAAATCCGGATCCCATTCTCAGGCCGGATCCCAGCTTTTCATCCGAACGAACCACTCGCAACTGCGCGGGTTGCTGCCCGCAGCCCGAGGCCACGAATCTCCGCTAAGCTTGAGGAACCGGTAAATAAGAACACACCTTGACCAGAAGGGGATTCACCCACAGGAATAGAACCAAAAAACATCACCTTCAGCAAAGCCAGGGTTTGGATTCCATGACTGGAGTGCCTGAGACTCCATGTATGCCATATGTATGCCTACATTGACCCCCAAACCACCCCAATGAATTGAAACATGACAAACCACGTGCCCAGGCGCCATGCGATGCGAAAGGTCTTGGCCACATCGTCCCGCCCGGCCATGGGTGAGGTGGAGCCGCAGGAGGGCTCCCCTGAAGATGCTCTGGGGAGGCGTCATCCCTGTTTCTCTCAGTTTTTTTTCTGCCCGGACCCTCGAAAGTACCCTAGAAAATGGGACATGACCCTATAAAACCAGGTATGACTGTACCCATTTTCCGAGGTACGAACTGAGACTCCAGGTAGAGTGTTTCCTCGATGTCATGGAAGGAAATCACATGAATTCCACATCGTTAGAATGACGTCCACCCACCTGGGGGGCAATGAAGCGAGGAAGGCGTGGCGGCGTGGCACTTCTTTCAGGGGAAAGACCGACTGATGGGTGCATCATTCCACGGAGAGGATTCACTCTTCACTTGCTTGAACTCCCAGCCCATCCATGGGAGTGGAAGAATAACTTATGGGTCAATGGGGGTTCTGGCTTTTTTTTTAAGAGGCAGGTCTTCCTTGCCCACCCCCAAAAAAAGAAACAATACAAGTCCAAAGACCCAGTATACCAGGACCCTCCAAGGGGTGTCCAATGAACTACCCCACACTACCTATAGGCTTCCATTGGGCACCCCTTGGAGGCTCCTGGTATCAAACCCATTCTATCTCCTTAAGTCGTGCCCTTTTCCTATGACCACGCCCAGTTCGGAGGTGAAACCGACCTCTAGGGCCTTCAGTGACCAGCGACTGGTTGGGCACCAGTCGTCAAGTCAACATGTTCGGGGCCGACCAGACCTTTCCATGTGATCTCTGATTCCTAGACCTGGTTCTAAGGGAAAAATCTACAGGCAACGACGGTGTTCACCTTGCTTTCCTGTAGATGTTCCCTTAAACCAAAATTCTGGGTCTGATGGGCATTGATCTAGCTGGCTAAAAAATTAGCCTACTGCGTACATGGATGGAGTTGCGTCCCATCCAGCCTGGCGTCCGCGTGGAGGGCGCAGGACTGGGAGCCTGCACAGAACTGTGTATTTTTTGGGAGGGTCATGGGCAATGGGTGTTTCAAGGAATTCAAAGGCACGTGCACGGAGTGGAGTCCCTCCTGCTTGAACAAGAAACATGACTTCCATGTTGGTGAGTCAAAGTCGTACATCTCGTACACCAATGTGATATTGAACTGACCCAGCCAGCGGTTCGTCCTGAAAGCGCGGACGATACATCCGTAAAAAAGGGAACATGTTGACCAAAAGTACTGGCTGGCAGTGGCATCCGATGCTTCGATGTGAAGAACATGCCTGAACAAACCCACGAACACATGCCCACCAGAACCCTCCTGGCCGGCTGTTTTCGGACTCCCAGAAGTGGTATCCGGGGCTTGTCACCAGGAAATACCTATTTGGAGGATCTAGGAGGACTTCTCAATCTTTGACAAGAGTACATTTCTACACCACCAATAGGTCACAAAGGCCAGATTCCCTGAGAAGGTATGGATCCTACGGCCCGAAGGATGTGGACCTGAAACTCATTTTCAATCCACTGAGCTCAAGAAAAGGAACTAGACCAATAGCTCCCTGCTGAGGATGTTGGACCTGTTGTACACAGTACCTCTGGGTACCTTTCACTGCTTGCATGGCAAGAAAAAGAACACATGCCATGCCAATCATGCTGCCAACAGCCTGGAGGTTGGACTGAATCGCGACAAATCTGCTATAGATACATGTTGTCCCAAGTTCGTTCTGTGGATGAGAAAGAAACCGTACGGCAGGTCAACATGTGATCAGTCATGGTGTCCATGGAATCACTCGCGAGTTGGAAATTCAGATCCGACCTACCAGCAGTCACAAAGGGGTGCCGAACTTGGAGAATAGGGGTGCCCCTGTCACATCCACTCACTGGATGGGACGAAAAACATCTAAAAACCACCCCGTACTTGTGACTCCGACCTAGATGAGTCTCTCGAAACTCGAAACCTGGCGCGAACGCGCGGCGTTGGCGTCTTTTTGCGGTGAAACCCTTCGCCATGTAAACGTCGCGCTGGAGTGAAAGCTCGTGCTGCTCAGGTGGAGTGATCCAGTGATCCTGGCACAAGGGCCAGGCGCACAAGTGGTGCAAGACCTTCAAATGTCTGCTGTCCCACGGCATGGTTTGAAGGGAGCATCATCTATATATACAGGAAAGCCAAGATGTTGATGACGATGGTTTCCTGCAAATGTTCCCTGAAACCAATCCAATGCCTTGCGTGAAACGCTCAACAAATGCCCAACGCCTAGGTAGGAGATCGGTGCAAAGGCAAATTGCACCATCACGTGCAACTCCTACCATCTGTGCTTCGGACCTCAGACTCAACAAAAACAGTAACAAAAAGACATACATCAGCACATATCATAATAATATATTGTAATATACTTCTCCAGATCTGGGACCTTTGGTGGGGATCATGTGCTACCCCTCTGAGGTGTATGGTTCGTGTGCTGTGCAGTATCTCTTGAACATGGCAAGCAACAACCATTGGAATCAACCAGCCAATTGCTTTCGGAAGATCCTCGAAAAGGAGTTCTTCAGCTTGGCCACATGTCCCTCCTGCCCACCGCCCTGCCAAGCCTCCTGGCTCCGCAGGCCAACCATTTTCTTCTCCCTCCCCATCTCTGTCGAGATCGTCGAAGATCTTCGATCTCATTCCAAGCCGAAGCCCTCGGCGTTGTGCATGGCCGTGACGATCATCCGTTCCAACTTGGAGCTGTCGCCGTACCTCGGGCCCAGAGAGACACACGGAAAGCCCGTCCCAGAGAGACCCCACAATGGGACTCACATCATTGGTGGGTTTCTTTTTGGGGTCAAGATGTATAGATCCTACACTCCCTGGAACTAACATGGAAGTGGATGGCCTGGCCCCTTGAAAGACCATGAAATCCATACAAACGGGTGGTGTTCCACTTCCATGTTAGTTCCAGGGAGAGTATATCGTCTAATGATGTGACGGCATTTCTTGGACTTTCTGTTGGAGGTTCTGGCTATTGCTCAATTGGACTTACAGGGTTGGTTCCCTATATCAAAGGAAGCCCTCTTGGTCGGAAGAATTTGGGATGTTGTGGGGGGTGGGGTTCGGAGATTGTCTTTGATCAATCTGATCCCTACACCTCCAAGTACCTCCTCAGAAGGTATTTGGACCTTCCAAACTTACCCCAAACACCTTGTCAGAAGGTACGACTGGAGGCCCAGGGGATGGAGGTTTCCCATCTGACGTGAGAGATTGGGACAGTTCGGGCTGGACAAGCAAAGCAAACAACTCCAGCTGAATTTCAAGCCGCATGTTGTCAATCCCTCTTAGACTTGAACCACAATGACTCGCAAGTTCAAGAGAATTGAGGGAGTGTGTCACGCATGAGGTTCCTTACTAAGCCAGTGGACAGCTGGTGACATGCAGCTTCCTCTTCTGTCGAGCGAACGGATTCTAGATCCGACCTAAAGACTTAGTGAGCGTGCGAACTGGGAGAAAACACTTATATATCTACCTCCGGGTCATCCTGTCTGGGTGTCCTGGCTAAACTACCCTACCCTACGTAAACAGGTCGACCTGTAGGACGTGCTAGGTATGATCATTGGGTTTCAGAGATGTTCAAACGTCAGAGTGGATGTTGCCGCTTTTTTGTGGCTCCTTTGCCTACTCGAAATGGCCGTCAAGGAGTTGAATGGCTCATGAGAATACCCCCGTGCATGCTGGTCCAGCGTGCTGCTCTTCCAGTTCTTGGGAAAACCCCCCCGTCCAAAACACATTCAAAAACAAATCAACACGCAGGCTTTGCGGACAACTGATGAGTTCGTTCGTTTGGGATCGCAAACTACGGACGGCAAAAAAATCAGGCAAAACACTCCGGGAGCAGCAGGAGGTTGAAGCAGGTGTGGGCCTTGGCAAACTGGCAGGAAATGGCAGGAAAATGATGAGATTCCGACTGTCCTCATCACTATCACTGTGGTTGAAAGCACCTTAATGACCTCCAAAGCACCACAAATACTGGCCTCCACCATCTTATACAGCTGGTTCATGACAATAGCATCAACAATCTCACTCTCACTCACTCCATCAACAATCGGCCAAAGCCTGGCCCCCCCCAAAAGAGTAAGCTCGGGCGCTGTGGGCAAGCGCTCTGTGGGCTCATCGCCGTTGCGCTGGATCACCAGCTGCAACTCCTGGCGTCCAATCTTTGGATGTGCCAAATCTTCCAAGACCCCACATCCCGAGAACATGAACACCCACATCTCGCGTGCACCATCTCCTTTTGGTCTTCGGATTGAGGACATGGTCATCCGTTTTTTTTCGCTCCGGGACTCAGCGCCAAACGATTCCATCCACGATAACCATGACTATTTCAGCGAGTGTCAAAAAGATTGGTGGGAAAATGACCCAAAATGATGACTAAGTGCTTGGCACGCTTCTCCAGGTGGTACCTGGATGAGCGTTCTTTTGGGAAGTGGTTGGTGGGAAAAAGGGGAAAAAGGGGCTTGCTGGCTTTGCCTTCCTGCCATGGAAGGGATCAAAAGAGTTCAAACCTCGGAAACGTCGGAGCGCTGAACGAAACAAAAGTGGCCCGTAGGTGGAGCATGGTGGAGGCCTGTGGAACAGACGTGAAAGATTCCACCAGACGCGATTCTTCGAGGTGTTCATCAAGGGCTGTGAGTGGGCAAAGTGATTTCAAGTTGGGCAGTGGATTCAAAAAACGCTCGAAAACGCTGAGCAAAGTGGGTCAGTAGGCATCTCTCAAACAGGCCGGAAGATATGCCACAAAGTGAGTCCACAGTCAACTTCTGCAATTAACTAGCCCCCTGATTTGAAGACACCACCAGTCTCATTCTCATAGTCAAGAATCAAGATTGAAGGTGGTTGAATCGAACGGTGGTACATCGTGCTACTAAGGTCCCTCGTAGAATTCTGCCATCACAGGTCACTCGACCTTCCGACCGTCTCAGGTCACTCAGCTCTAAACCAATCACCAACACTCGCTCACCTTCCCCGCGCCGGTGCGCGCTTCTCCGCGCCGGTTCTCCGCGCCGCGCGCTCCTGTAGACCGCCCACCGGCGCTAAGTCGCTGCCCGTGACGAAGGACAAGAAACGCTTCTTCTGAACCTCGATTTTGAGAACTTCCCCGGACAAACGGAGAACCTGAGGTAAGGTGAGGACGGAGACTATTTGGCGTGAGGAACTTCCCCTAAGGACATAGGGGGCACCCGAGGTATTCGGTGAGGACGGAGACTCTTGATGTAGGCGGGAGGGTCCAATGACCTTCGAAGGTGGCAGTGGAACCATAGGCTTCGCTCAAGAGTGGGCATGGCGTTTTGATCTGAAACACTGCTTCAACGGGGGGACTTCGAAGTGTCCCCGCACCTGAACCAAATGTGCGCTGCCCGCCAACAACGTGCCACTCCGCAATTAAAGACTGCGTGAGACTCCGCATGTGCTGGGCCGTTTGTCGGCCTTGGCCGCCATAAAAACCGGCGGCCTTGGGTGCGACAGGGTGACACAGTACGGACAGGGCGTCGGGGTGGCATTCATGCCGGAGACGTGGAGGTACGATGCGAGGGAGTGTTGTTCCCCTAAGGGATCCGGGCCCTATAAGCACTGGAGGGTCCAAGGATTCTTCAGGTTATTGTATGGTGGTCGACCATGATGGTTGATGCGATAGGAAAAGACGTCCAGGTGATACCATCTCAATCGCCAGTCCGACCCTAGACCAAACAGTCAAGAGACCAGTCCCCCTTCAGGTCGAGAATTGATACTGAACCGCAGTACTACCGCCTCATCCAGCCACTCCATGGGACTGGCATATTCTACGTTCGTCTGTTTGTTTGGCCAGAAGTCTTTCCCTAAGCGCAGGAAGTCCAGGGAGTGCGCATGACAAGTGGTGCACCAATGTCGCTCAGCAGTTCTCAATAGTTTTGCGTTCCGTATATATGTCAAAGTCCAGAGAGTCTGCAGGCTTCAGCCTTAGTCGGATCTCCTCGCAAATGTCACAAAATTATGGATTCAGTCTAGTTGTGTGACGGAAGTCATCAATTCCCCTTAAAACGACTTTCCAGAATGTCTTTGCAAGCGCAGGAGGTCCTGGGAGTGCGCCTAACAATGGTGCACGAATTACACTCAAGTTCTGCGTTCCATATATACGTCCAAGTCGAGAGAGTCGGCAG